TTAGCGAGAGCGCGTATGTTTTGGATTAGGCCAACCGGCTAACTCAAACATATCCAGGTTAGGTTGAACCAGCTTCGTAGTACAGGCCTCTGGACAGTTACCTCTGCGCTGAATCTGTGGACCTCGTGAGGGACGCTGACTATGAGAGCGGGGGTGGACTGACTATGAGTCTACAGGGAGGATAAGAGCCAAGAGGATGATAGATCAAATAAATGAGGAAGTGGAAGAGAGGAAAAAAAGGATGTGATTTAAAATGAAAGCGGTGTGTGATGACAATAAAAGGAAATGGCAGAAATGAAAGTGAAGTGATGTGTACAGTTTTAGCTGGTGAAGTATCTGATTACCTTGTTAGCGAATCTGTGTGTGCCGATGGTGGAGTAGACGTCTCCGGGGGGGACGGGGCTGGACCTCTGCATCCTCGTCTTCTCAGTGTGAGACTGAACACAAACAAGCATATTTTAAATCAACAATTTAAGCAAGAAAAAAAGCAAACCGTAGCAGTGATCATTCTTTTATTATATACTGCATCTGATCCTTAGCGTACCTGTTCCTCTATTTTGTCCTGTCTGTCGAGAGCAGCTTCCACTGCATCGAAGAACTCATCCTCATTGATGAGGCTGTTAGGACCCTCCTGACAAATCAAATGTGAGAGAAAGTGTTACTTACAAAGTTCTCACCCAGCCCAGACTCTTGTCACTGCATGATAACAGAAACTCTACCTCATAATCTGGACCTCCAAAGTGAGACTTTATCTTCAACTCGTTCAGAGCTGATTTGTAGCCCTCCTCTATTCTTCTGCGCTTCTCCATCTCCTACACACACAGACATACAGAGTCATTAATGGAACACAGTATGAAATCATAAAGTGACCAGTGAACAGAAGTTAAGAAACATTTCAATACTGCCAGTTTTCTCTTCTTCAAAAATATTCATCTCGATGCTTAATGTCCCCGTTTAGGTTTTGGCCAATGTGACAACCCATGATGCCAGATACAAAGTAAACACACAAAAAGATTATTATGGTCTGACAAATATATATGTAGGAAATACAGGCTTTAAAAGAAAAAGAAAAATAGACGATACAAAGCCGAGATCCAAATGCTACACACCTTATCCAGTCTCTTCTGCCAGCTGTCCTCTCTCTTCACCATGAGGTCGATGCAGTGGGACAGAGTGGCCAGGATCCCAGCTGTGGTGGCTTTGAATGTGATGGCCTCACCCTTAAAGTCTATGCCCTTAGGACTCAAGGCCTGGAACACTGCACAAAGGAGGATCGTGGGAATAAAACAAATGCTACTTCAGACAAACACCAAATCTGTACAGTGCAGGGTCACATCCCAACGTCATATTTTACATTATTTTTACGTTAGTTGCCATCACATTTCAAAAAGATATATTATTATATTATAACTTGCAGGAACGCAACAGTTTTAAAAGGTGCTACTACATATTTTGTCAACTTCTTCTTACTAGAACATATATTTCAAAGCAGTTGTGGTTAGTTTAATTGAGCATTTTTTGTATTGTGTTTTTGTGTCTTTGCTGTCTCAATAAATAATAGATAATGCTCTTTTCCAAACGTTAAACCTGAGTCATGAATATTTAACGTTATAGAAAATTACTTATAGAATTCTGCATTACTCACGCTTTTCTTTGCTGCCGTTGTTATTGTGCAGAAACTCTCCATCTGTCCTGGTGTTGGGGAAGTCATCTTCATCATCCTCCACGACTGGAAAAACAGACAAATAAAGATTGAGATAGGGAAGGCAAACATAAACCAAATAGGTAGCGATACCCAAGCCTATTCTGGTAGGAGGCTAATGAAAGCAAACCAGCGCATGGGAGCGCCTTGACGCTCATTCACAACTTCAGCTGCAGCACAGAGCTCCGTCAGACTGACCGAGCTCTGCCTCACCGGACAACATGACAATGGTCTGTTTTCATCTTCAGAATGGAGAGGGAGAGAGGGGGTGAGAGAGGGAGGTGAGGGGAACAAAAGCAGGGCTTCATTCTCTGTGCTCATCCACAGGCGCCCAGTGCAGGCTGCCGTGAGCAAATGTTCAGCCTGCCAACCCGGGGTGAGGGGGTTTGGAGAATAACTGCTGACTGAGTCACAAAACTCAGACACACTCCAAACAAGTCAGTCCAAGTTTCTTCTAAACTGCATTTATATCCATAATATATACATGGAATATTTAAGGCAGAGAGTCACTTAAAAAACACCATCGTCTTGTTAGAACCACGTTTTGTGATCAGTTACCCGGGTACCCTGAATTTGTAAATACTCTTGTGCTGCACACTTAACCATTCCATTATTTCCACACATGGCTGATTAAGCAATGCAACATTTCTGTCAGGAAATAAACAACGCTTTAGCTTACAATCATTTTGATTATATAATAACTATTGATTACTTTCTCTATGTCAATTTATTGTTATGTCTATAACAAAGATGACAATATATTTTGTGCAGTCTTCAAATCATTTTTTTTGTATATATATAAAAGACAGAAAAAGCATCAAATCCTCACGTTTGAAAAACTATAATAATAAATACATATTTACCGTATTTGCTTGAAATGTCCAAAATAGAGAATTATTTTTAATCATTACTACTCCTAAAGAAAAACAATTGCATAATCTTCTCTTCTTGTATCAAATCACAACATTTGAATATATATAATATATATATGAATCATCTGTTAAAAGTAGTGGTCTTACTTTTATCCCTCTGCAGCTCGTCCTTGGACACGGCGTCTGAACAGCCATCAAAGTATTTCTGAAGCGTGTCCACCTGTCTGCACAAGATGTCTCTGAATGTCTCCATCTCCGCCAGCTTCTCCTTCAGGCTGTGACCCTTCTTGAGGCAAATAAAGAAACGGCGGTTAGGTATTTGGTTTATATTTCCATGGACCACAATCAAACCATTCCATGCCAAAGACCTCAGCCAGAGTAAACATTGAGCAGTAATCTCACCTTGAAGGAGGATGTGGAGGTGGCGGAGAAGCCGCTGGTGGCCGATGTGAGCGACAGCATGGAGCCATGTCTCCGCAGACTGGACTCAGAGCCATACCCAGAATCAGCCTGTGAAGAAAGCAGAAACAGACGTGGGGACACGTTAGCAATGTCGTCACAAAGTAGCCTTATTTTATAAAATTACTTATAATGATTTATTTCACTGCTGCAACTCAGCTGTGACTTATTAAGCAAACCATGTGACACAAAACAAAAAGGTCAACTACAACTAATCCTTCCCCTAATCTCGGCTCTAGCTGTTGCTCTGATAATTGTCATGTTCCATCTAGTATAGTCATTTAAACCCATCAAGGATTAATCTAAACTTTATAAAGTATCTTCTCCTCTTTTGAAGTTTCAAATCATGATTATTTTTGTAATTGACTGGCATTTCATCCCAATATGAACACAAGTTTGAAAATCATATTAGAAACTGCACAAACAGCTTGGCAGAAATCCCTAAATGTTGTAAGCAAACATTTTGACAGTATTCATTGAGCTCAGCAGCAGCGCAACATGACACGGATTCAGTGACCATGGCAACGCAACTGAAATATCCAACAGGCTTCCTGTAAACCTGCCCGCTTCCCCTCCCTTATATAACAGCCCGGCCTCAAAATAGATGGCTGGTGGCAGCAGAGAGGAAAGGTGCAGCAGCACAGAGAGGGAGCGGGGGAGAGGAGGAGCAGAGATGCCTTTCCCTTGAAGACATCATTTCAATTTCAACCACCAGGGGGCAGGACATGTCAATGCACGTGACTAGCATTTGTGAGAGCCTGGGGTTACTGTCGGTCAACGGCAGGAATTAACTCTGCCTGTGTTCACATAGATTTCAGACAGCACTGCTTGCCCTTTAACCACATTCTGCTGCCCCACTGACTTCATCAGCACAGATTGCACTATCTAACTGTTTGCATGAGGGCTGCTTAATCTGGTTGAGAAAAAGAAAAAAAAGAAGACTGAGGTTTTGTTACAGCTATACTATTAGATTTATAAAAATAAATAAAACTGGATTCAAGTAAACATTTATCCACTGCTCCCGTCAGCATTTTCAACAGTATGTAGGCAACAAAATAACCAACATTTACCAGTCAAATGCTGTTAAAATATGCATGGACTGGTCGATTTGCATTACTCAACAGACAGTAAAACAAGGGGAATCTATTGAGTAGCTGGGAACATTTAAAAATACAAGCCAGTTGGCTGGTGGAAATAATAAATATAAATAAATAAACATTGTTATATGGCAGAGTAGAAATATTCACACACATGCCTTAAAGATGCATGCAATGAGGCAAACAGTATCTGAGTGAGTGTTTGTGTGTGTTTAGGTGTCAGGTGATTAAATCCCAAGTGCACTCACCCTACTGACTTTGGATAAAACAAGATATAAAGTCTGGAGCTGATAAAAGAGCTCCCCTGAGTAGAAACACACTTATCCAAGACACAAAGCTCATTTGAAGTGATACAAAGCCCACATAATAACCATCAAATATGGCCCCACATTTCTGTCACATGGCTGTCACTGCACAGTTCAAATACAACAAGCATCGTTTTCTTTACTAGAGATAGTATCCTAGAAACAAGTGTTGTAAGATGTTTCACTGTCTCCAACTGTGAGAGTAGTAACTGTGGTGTGTTGTGTCTCCTTGGAGACGCTGGAGTAGTGTTGGTTTCGAAAGAAGAGGCAGGGCCCTCTAAGAAGAAGAGGTTTTGGTGGTGACTCATTGTGGGTGGGATGGTGTGAGTGCCTATATGAGTCACAGCGGCTCCCCTGTGCTGGGATGAGTGAGTGTGGGGGGAAGAGGGGGATTTCCCAAACTGAGACCGGGAATGAGCACGCGTGTGTTTTGGCAGGCTGAAGGTGTGGTCACTGCCCACTCCTCTTCCCAGTCAGACAGACCCACAGCTCTTTTCAGTTTAAAATAAGTTTTGTTAATGTTGTGAAACCATTTCCCTCTCAGCCTAACAACATACATCATCAACTACCAGATGACACATGGGGTTGTTTTCAACATCAACGCAAGACAGAATTGACATATTTGATGGTTGGTTGCTGTTTGTATATAAACATTTTGTAGGCCTTTTTGTCGTTGCATCTATTGTTTTTCACTCGGCAGTCAACAGTAGGGGTTGCAACCCGCTTCCTTTGTCCTTCACACTAACTGAATACAATCGGTGCTACACCCTGCACTTCAAGGTTTTTCACAGCTCTGACAGGTTGTGATTCAGCCCTGGGTACATTCACATTGTACTGATACAAACAGTTAGAAAAGCATTACTGTTTTCACAACTTTCACAGGAATGTCCCCAGAAAATCATTAAAACAGAGTTATCTGTTGACAGTATTCAAACAGCTTTCTCAGAAAGTCTTGACACCCTTTCAAAGTAACCCGTGTAAAAGGTCTGTTTGAAAAGGGATTATCTCGACCCTGAGTTTACTGTTAGTCCAGGGTTAAGATACATTTCAGCCAAGGGTGCCCTCTGATAAAAGCCTTAACAAGAGTCATGCACTAATAGAGAACCATCCACCATATAACAGTTCACACAGCCTTTATGCTTTTGGAAAGATCTTAGATGGAAGAGAAAGGAGAAACACAGTTGTAACTAAACTGTGTTAAAGATGAGTGAAGCACTCAGTAAGTCCTGCAGACTTGCCAACAAACGCACCAGCGGTGGAGAGATGAATATTGTTCCCTGGATTCCTCCCTTCTCTCTCCTCCCTTCTTTGATACTCTAATAGAAATACACACACACGCATACAATGAGCACTCGCATCCACAAATACAAACCTTGTATTTTGATACTTTGTGAGAAAATGTGACAAAGATTTGGATTATTTTGAAACCAGCAGTTTGTTTTCTGCTGTGTTAATGTGCATGACTTACCCTGTGCAGCTCAACGGAGTCGATCCACTGGTGTCTGTGCTCCGGGTCTGCTGCTCTGAGGTACCACACACTGTCGTTTACAGTGATGTCCAGCCGGCACTCGTCAAACTCATGAGGCTAAAACAGAAGAAGGACAGGGGGCAAAAAGATGAGTCAGTTTACATTGAAAATATGCCGCTGTTAATCCTTTTACTATCAGTATTCTCGACGTCTGAAAGTTTGACGATGCTGGAGAATTCTAAGAAATAGGGCCTGCAAACTAGTTTTTTTCGTTTTGCTTTAGTTCACGTTCTTTCAGCAAGGGGAAACGCAAATCTCTTTCCTGCTCAGGAAGAGCAGAGGGAGGCACTCGTGAGAGTTGGCCATCCGTTTAAAGTGTTATTTAAAATGACACTGAAATAGCAAACTGCTTATCTCTCTCCTGTTCAGCAAAAACAGGAAACATGGCAATCCATTGTCACAGTGATGGAAGTCAAATGTAGTCAATGTAGGCTGATCTATACATCTATACAGAGATAAAGGACAGAATAGAACGTACTATAAGAGTGCAGCAGAGGCACAACAGCCTTTACTTCCAGACACTGTCCCATAGGAGGACAAGTGGCAGATAACTGGCCTTTTAAGGCAACAAGCAAGATGGAGCATACTCCTAATATCCCTCCAGTGTACCGTCAGCGCTGTGAAACTGCAGCGCTGGCATGGCCATTAACCAAGGACTTTATGTGTGTGTTGGTTTGTGTGTGTGTGAGAGTGCAGGGATGGAGGGAGCGGTGGGGACAGCAAAAGGTGTTTACCTAATGCATTAAGGACAACAGTGAGTCCCAATGCTAAATCCTTCTGAAGGTCTAAGCACAGGCAAAGCATAGCTGGCTGATATAGGACTGAGGGTCTGGCTCAGAGTAGCTGAGGACACAGCTCGAGAAGCACAAAGACATGGAAAACACTGAATGAGCAGGAATGCCAGATACTGCGGCTGAACTGTAAGCAAAAAGAGAAATCACTTAAGAGAAGAGACCTCTACATTCCTACGGTGGCCACAATGCAGTAAACACATCTGGGTTTCCTTTCATAGTGTATCTGTAGTAACCGCACCATAAGTCTGCAATGTTGCAAGAAGCACTCATTTCACCAAAGGGCATCTTAAGTGAAACATAATTAGTGATTGAAGTTGACTGGTTTGTTTAATTGATTTCTTTGGGTTCAATATTGAAAAATAATACTGTATTGATTAATCCTGTGTACCATCCCTTTTTAAGATCTATAAGATAAAAACAACCTACACATTATTTCCCCTGAGACAAGCAAAAACAACATTTGATCATTAACCAAAAGCAAGCTTGCAATCTAATATTACCCAGAGACACCCCGAGCCCACAACATCACGGAAGATAGTATTACTCCTGGGAGTTGGCAGAGTAATACATGTCCCACTATGGTGTCTTTAAAGAGGTTTCAGTGGAGGAGCGGGACTTGGCTCTGTTGCACGACACCTGGACGCCACTGAGGACAAGACCAGATGCTCTGTGTCAATAATGCACGATATGAGGCCGAATGCTGAAACCTTGCCAAACCAGATGCTCATTTGAAAGCGGCATTTGCATACAGTCAACACCAGGAGCAGAGGCAGAGAAGAAGAGGAAGCACAAGCAAGTAAGGAAACAATGTGATGCATCATACACCCTGCATTTGTATGAGGAAGACCAAAGGGCTTTTGGCTGATTGTTCTAATACAATTGTACAAAGTTTGAATACAATATTCTACAAAAAGAATATAATAAAATGTCCCTTGCTGCAATGGCTGTACTACACTAATATCATGCGAGATGAAAGAGTGCTGGAGTGTTACTGCACACAATGTGCAAATGTTGAGTTGGTCAATGGGTTTGTCGTGTCATTTGGTTGCTAGGAAAGAGGGAAAATGTGTTCCTCATGATCACCTCCGGACGGCAGGGTCATGGGTATACTGACTGGAAGGCCTGTTTGAGAAATGAAAGCCTGCACTGCACTGGGTCGAAGAAGGTTACTGGTATCCAAGGCTACAGTCAACAATAATCCATCATAGTAATGACATGTTCGCAGCCTTGCACATCACAAGATGACATGCTGATATCAGCCCGGGCCTGGTGTGAAAGAGCAAAAGAGAATAAATGAACTGTATGGAGTGTCTAGTGAATCCTTGCGTTGAACCACATAATCAAATTGTGATGTAAATCTAGGTCAATAAGAATGATGGATCATTTCTGCTGAATTACTTTCCAACGGGCCGACAAGCAGGTATAAAGAAATAGATGGAAGGATGTTTTAGATGCGCTTGCAGCAAATCAATATTTTGAATGGGAAAGTAATTCTTTATTGTTCCATGAAGGCTTTGTGCCACAATGTTACTTGACAATGATTTTTTTTAAACTATTTGGTACAAAATGTAGACTATGGACAAAAATACATTTATTTTTTCAGCAACACTGTTTAGGCGCAGCATCCATGTGATGCTGAGGAGACAATATGTTGATCACACAAAGGTCTTGCCCACAAGCCTTTTATTCCTAGGACTCTACTCGTATTATTGTGTCTTGTTTGTTTTGGATCGCTTTCAACATCAACATGATCTCATAAAGGAGCATGGTAGGGGGTAACAAGACTGGAAGGAGAACAAACATCTTATGAAATGATCTACCAAGAAACATATTCAGTGTTTTCAGGAAAAACACGTGGGTTTGCTATCCTGGCTCCAAAATGGTGGAATGAGCTCCCCATTGAAATCAGGACAGCAGAAAGCTTAAACATCTTCTTCAGACTGAAAACTCATCTCTTTAGACTCCACTTTGAGCAATACAATTACTAACAAAGCACTTATATAGTAATAAAGGGCTGGCTTATCTAAAGCTAGTTGAGTAGCACTTGAAATGTTTTGGCTCTATGAAACCTGATGTACTTATATGATTCTGTTTTCTTCAAGTTTGTATCTTCTTGGTCGAATGCACTTATTGTAAGTCGCTTTGGATACAAGCATCAGCTAAATGCAATGTAATGTTTTCCTCTGTATCAAAAAGGGTAGCAAGTAATATAAGTGCCCAAATCATGAGGAAACAAAACAGTGAGTAACATTGTTTATCTATTTTCTCTAAATACAAACATATTACTCTGCCTAAAAAATAAATAAGCCCGTGTGCTCTCCCTTTCAACTCCAGCTGGTGTACGTGTTTGTAGTCACTCTCCAGAAGTGAGTGAATGGGAGCTTCCTGAAGAAAACCTTTTGAATTTAATACACAAAAAAACTGATGGATTGAAAACAATGCAAGCAATGAGAACCCTAACAATGTTTTTAAAAGACCCAACTGGATTTCATTTCTATTTGTGCAATTTTAAACCTCATAATTATTCTCTCTGCAGAGGAGATTACGACAAATATAGTATCTTGATCCGTCAGACCTGGAGCCAGGAACATCTTTATGTTCACGCCGGACATTAAAACAGGATCCCATTGGCCTAGTGCAGGAAACACAGACTCACCAAGAGCTCAGAGTGCAAGAGGAAAGGAAAGGCTAAATAAACAAGGATGAGAGAAAGGTCTGTCGTGCATATGTGTATTAGGTTTTTACCCTAGACATGACCCCCGATGAAGAGGAAGTCACATGCTAGGAGGAAATTGTATATTTCCTGGCCAAAGACAGCACGAGCTTGATGTCAGTCCCAACGCTCAATTTAATCAACTTGACCATAGGTCTATTTCTATCTCTTTGTGACAGATACGGAGAGGAAAATGACAAATCATTGCATCCAGTGACACGGCCTTGAAGAACTCCAAACAATCGTGCAACAAATTAAAGCTAAATGTGGAATTACAACTAGGATAGTGCGTTCTTTTTAACCATGGATCTACAAATGCCAATGGTGGTAAGCAGCCTTCGATAAGAACAGTCTTGTGGAGGCCCATTTGATCCAATAGACAGCCCATACGCACCAACCTGGAATAGCATGACTAGATAGTACATGTTGAAGTCAACTGTCAACACAGAGTTTGATGGTTTTACTGGTTTGCCAATGAATGTAGAGAACGGTTCACATTAGACAATGTGTCAACTGTTTTTAAAGTGAGTAAGCGTACGTTTCGATTGAGGATATTGTTGATTTGCAGGTTACACACCAGATATGATCGTTGTAACACGAAATGGCATTCAATTCAATGTTATCAAGTTCCCTAGTCGTGGAGGTGGCTTCAACAGACAAAGAGGATGCATATGACCTACCTACTATATCGTGCACGAACAGATGGTGGACACAATGAAAAACAATGCACAATGCAGCCCAACCTAGCAGCTCTGCAAGTTTCATCATAGTTGATAATGTGTCAAACAGATATTTCCAGTTTGTTGAAATTTGAGGCCAAAGTTTAAATTATGGGACGATTACATTTATTTTATTATAAGCTGTTCTGTAGCTTAGCTATTGTGTTTCCAACCTACTAACAAGTTAAGCTGGGAATGATGGAAACCTGACATTACATTTCCGGCACTAGATCAGTCATAGACATTAGACAACATAAAGGACCTTGTCGATTTGCTCTTTTGAGAAATGCTTCCGAGCACTTGCTCTGGTTGTTTTGCAATGAAGATGTCCCAACTTCTATTACAGGTCTACCTGGGTTTCTTAACGTTAGTGTCCTGACTGGAATGAGTAAATGACTCATAGTGCAACTTAAACCACAGACTTGCCTCTGAACTTAATACTGATGCGTATTAATCAACCCACAATATATTAGTCGATTGACAAAAATGTTGACAAAAATGTTGACAAAAATGTTTATCAGCAAATATTTTGACCAAACTTGAGAATTTCTTCATTTTTTGTGATAAATACATCTTAATCAAGTGCATTAGTATGGACAGTTCAGATCCGAAGATATGAACCGCCCCAAATATTGACAGGCATTTAACACATTTTTCTTCCTATTGTTTTATGCAAAGTGATTTATTGATGAAAATGGAATTAAGTTGCAGCTCTAAAGCATACAGTATAATCAGAAGTGAATCTTCTTTGGGAGCTTTGTAGAACATATTGTACCCCTGTGTTATTGTGAGTGCCATGAGGGGAAATTACAGGAAAGAACAGTCAAAGAGAGTAATACACTTTCTGTTCAAAAAGTCAATAACTGTCTGTGCATGGCCACCACCAGCTATAGCTTTTTCATATTTACTCCCCAGAGTTTTGAGGCATATTTCCATCGGAATGAGAAATTACAACAGTAGCATCACATGGAGGTTAATATTTACACAGGCTGGGAATGGATGAAGCTGAACAAATACAGTTAATAGCAAAGCCTGCTTTCTGCTGCCTGGGAACAGTAACTTATTAATTTCCCTTGTAACTGTTATAGAGAGACACAGACGGGGTTAAGTCAATGACTGACCTGGGTTCCCACTGAAACATGATGGAGACAATGTGAACATCCAGCGTTATAAACTGTTGACACATTTAGATTTATTTTCCCTGTGAGCATAGTGTGGCAGCCTCTTTCCTAGCCTCTTAGGCAGGATAATATTACATGTCTGACAGAAATGGGAGTCTCTGCTTCAACATATTGGAAGCTAAATCTATCACAGCTCCACTTTCTTGGTCTATCCTGCAGTGACACAGCAATACTCAGTCTCATGATGAAGTTCTCAATAAAGCATTACCCCACACTGAAGCATGTTTTTTCAAAACTACAACAGTCACCTGATAGGCAGAGCAGAACTTGGGACCTAATCAGGAGTTCAATGCAAAAATACGTTGTCACCTGCAGTTGAAGAAGACGTTTGAGAAACTCAAGTGTAAAGGTCCTCATCTGATTAGAATCGTCTACAGCGAGTCAAGCCTTAGGCCTGCACATTGATCCAGGAAAGAGCCAGAGTCCTTCCCTCATGAATTTAATAGAAACATATGGTGGATTCCTAACATCTGTATCACATCTAATGCATCATATATCAAACTTCCCAAAAACCCTGTAGAGGCTCAGAAAGAAAAGAGGGAGGTGGGTAGCACACCCATGGAAGGAGAAACAGAAAGGTGTTTGATCTTTAGATTGGAGACATTTCCAAAAAGAAGTATTGAAACTGTGTTTTTGATCCTGCTTCTTCTTAGTTGCTTCAACAATCAAGTCTTACAAAATGTATTGTGCAACACCCAACTAAAACGTTTACTCTATGAGAAGAAAAACATGTTTTTCTTATGAGTTGGAACAAAGCATGCAATGTGTGAAAAAGGTGAAATTCTTTGAATTGTATACAGCAGGTTAGTTGCCGAGCAGACAAACAGACAAAGGTGACGCCTCTGCCAACTTTCATGCAGATAAAAAAGCTTGTGTAAGCACAGACAGTCAAGATAGAGTGAGTTCATCAGCTAATGGCACAGCACACTATTCTTGAGCTGATTTTTAATAATTAAATCCTATTTCCTCAAATTGCTGACCTGATTATTAAAAGCTTTACAAAGCGTCGTCAACCTGAATACAAAATAATTGAGTCAATGACGACGATAAGCTGTATAGTAGTTGTCTCGCTGTAATATGGAGGCTATTATAGCTAGACAACTACTATAAGGATAAGGTCAAGTGACTCCAGAGAAAGCTGTCCTTTTTAGAGTCAGCTGTCAGTTACTACTATCCAATCAAAAGCAACAATGCAGACCATTTGTTGTGGTGGAAATATTTCCACTGTGGTTTTCATAACAACGCTACTGATTGCCTTAACACCACACCGCCTGGCTGTAAGGCTTTTTTTTTTTCATGGGAGCTAAAACTAGAGCAACACAGTACACAGAAAATCAGCTGAGGCTGTAGGTGAGGTGACCCACAAGGGTAGTTTGTCACCAAATGTGCAATTTAAATAAACATCCACAGAGCATCCTCTCAGGTCTTGAATAGCAGAGGATGCTTGCCTCAGTAGGATGCGTGCCACAGACGATTTGACTGTTTGGCGGCTTAATAGCGAGAGTGATGGTTCCTCTCTCTATTACCAAATGTAACTCTTGAAAATGAAAGCGTAAATTCTTGTATGACATATTGAAAGGGCCAGTATTGCACAAACGAAAGGCTGCTTTGAGGAACTTATGTCAAATTGATTTTAACAAGAAGTGTGCTGTTTTGTGAAAAAGAAACTCAAGGGTACTTACAGTAATCACAGCTTTGCTAAGGCAGAGGGAACCCCGACAGCCATACTCAGTCTCATCCTGGGACTTGTAGTAGCTCAGTGTGTTGTTTTTCAGGACCACCCAACGGTCCTGCCAACCATGGATGTAATTTGTCCACTGGAAAAGAAAGCCCTTTAATCAATATCTTAAAAAATATATACAAACATTAGCTAAAATATACATACATTAGTTCATATATATTACATTACAAATATCAGTTAAAAATCTAAAAAATAACTTTGTGTTATTGCACTTCTCAGAAGACCTATTTATGAGATATGACTCGTAGGATTTGAGGATGTACGATGTGTGCAGGGCTTGGTATAATTAAAAAGGTGAGCTTTACTGGATGCAGATCTGCTTAATCTCCCAATATGCTTGGTTAGCAGGTCAGCATGCAATCTGTTCAGCCAACCAGTACAGTGACATTAATACCACATTAGCTTGCGAGCAGCTTAACTCATCAAGACTGTGTTCATTTTGGCCAAAACAAGGTCTCGCACAAGTGAGAAGAAACATATGGCCAAATAGGTTACCAAGATTTGTCTAGCAGGAGACTTAACCGTCTGCCAAGAAAAACAGGATTGATGAACAAGAGCTGGTAGTGTTTGTGTTTTTACAGAGTTAACAGACGGTGTTTACGAGTGCCAGAAACCCAGCAAAAGTTTTCCTGTACCTTGCAAAATATAGCTGTCAAAGCAATATTTACATTGAACATGTGCACATAACATGTACACATGTTGATAGTAGTAGAAAAAGCATTGAAATATTCAGCAGGCTTTATGTGATCACAAAGTACATTAGGGAAAAATACAAGCTGTCCTAATTATCTATAGTGGTGACATCATTGTGCAAACATGGCTATAGCTTACTGTGATCACCATTCACTTGAATATAACTGGTGCACAGCAGCTGTCAAATTAATATAACAGGTATAAAATGTTACATGTACAAACCTGGAATAAGCTATCAACTTTTACCTACACTCATTACAACAGTAAGTGAGTCCATCTTAGAGGCATCTATGAGTTAATGTAGCTAGCTGCTGCATTAAAAACCCCGCTGTTCAATTACAAAAGGGGGCTTTCCTTTTGCCTCAGTTGTGATTACCGGTGTAATATTGCTGAACAGCAATGTGGAAATGTTGACAGGGAGAAAAGGATTCTGGATAACCCCAACAACACTCAAAATAGACATTCTGTGATTTGTCGTAAAGCATTCCCATTATCACCTCATTTAACCCTGATATTCAGACACCTCCCTGACAGTTAAGCCCTCAGGACTTGGCAGTGACACTGATCAAGCTAACAACATTCAGGTTAGCCCACAAACAATTACTTATCTTTAATTGTGTAAAGTAAATAAGTATTCGTAAGTAAATGTACTGTACTTAAGTGCAATTTTGAGGTACAGTTACTTAACTTGAGAAGGTAAATGTTTTTGCTACTGTGTACTTTTACCCCACTACATTTATTTAGTAGCTTTAGTTACTTTGCAGATTTTGTTAAATGATTTGAAATATTAAATCAACATTTACATTAGACTTAAGTTACACCTGGAGTAACGTTCACAATATACCTTGCAGTATACAAAGTTAAATTAGCTGCACCTTTTACTTGAGTAACATATGGATTGCATGACTTTTACTTGTAACAGAGTATTTCTACACTGTGGTACTTCTACTTTGACTTAAGTACAAGATCTGTGTACTTCTCCCACCTCTGCCCTCAGGACTTGGCAGTGACACTGATGAAGCTTACTAAACCAAAAAAACATGACCCACCTTACTGAGGACTCCGCTTAAATCGACAATCCCAATCAGATGTCCAGACTCATCTCTGGGCTCCACGTCTTCCTCGGAACCCGAGGAGTTCCAGCTCTGGTTGTCTGACATTTTCTCGATGCTATTCAGCTAGTATAAACCGATACTAACTTGGCATATATGATGCTCAGGTGAGTTTAAGCTGACAGGACCTGATTGAATAAGCGGCAACAGTTCAACGAATCATGTTTTGGTATTATACACCGACTATGAGGTTAGCCCAAATAGAAGAAGCTAGGTAGAAGCCACCGAGTAGATAAACGACGGTAAGGTAAGCTACACAGATCGACTCATGTTGTGGTTAAACAGGTAGCTAAGCAGTGTCTGTAACGGTAGCTGAACGTCGAGTTAAGTGTCAGAAAAGGATGAAACGCAGATAAATGTGCTCTGGCTAGCTTCAGCAGTCAAGCAGGTAATCCGTATCTGACTTTCAGATAGACGGTGCGGCAGTAGCAGCGGTTGTTGTTAGTGCTTCTTCCCTCTGTTGACTGTTGACAGCTCTCCCGTTCAGCGCCATGTTTCAACTGACGTCTCGAGCTTCTTCTCGGTGGTTTAGCCCCTAGCGCGTGTTCCAACTTGTGTGGTGCGCAGGGGCGCTTGCCCCGGTGACGTCACCAAACACCCCTCCTTAACTGGACGCAGGCCCCGCCCCCTCCTCCAGTTTACATTACTGAAAATAGACTGAGGAGCACAGGAAAATAGACCAGAGTAAATGATGCTCCAGATTCATGTTGGTGTTCAACAATTTTTGCACTTTTCAATAATATATATCTCTATCTCTCTATATAAATACACAGCACTCCACAATAAAATTGTATAATTGAAGTTTGTCATATTTCAATGTACTTAGTTCTTTATATATTTATATTTGGTGTAAATATTTGTTTAATTCTCAACAAGGCCTGGGACCCACACTGACTTTTACCCCTTCCATAGACATTATGTATTACATTAATGCAAATCATGTGACAAAATATTTTAATCATTTTAATATTGTGAACCCTGCACATGCCTCTGTATACTTTGCACGTTTCTGTTCAATCTACCTCTTTTAAAATCTGCACAGCTCTCCACTTTACATTCCATACAGTACATGTTTTATTTGTATTTTTCATTATTGTCATATTTACTGTAGCTACTTAGTTTTTTTAATATTTTTATTTTAGAAAATACTTTTTTGGGGTAGTATTAGTTTTTTAAGTTGTTTATTTTGTATTGCTATTTTAGTCTTTCTCTGACAATGTAATTGTTCTTACTGTGTTTATATATGCACCATACACACCAAAGCAAATTCCTTGTTCGTGTTAACCTACTTGGCAATAAACCTGTTCTGATTGTGGTTTCAAGTTACCTTTAGTACTTATTTCCTACCAACACAAACAAGAAGTTATAATACAGATGCAGTACAGTTACTCGATTAAGTATCATTTTGAGGTACTTGGACTTTACACAAGTGTTATTGTTATTATATTTGTATGCTGTTTTATACTTTTACTAACTACACTACAGAGGCAAACATTGCATTTTTTTTAATCAAATACATAATTGTCACTGGTTACTTTTTATATATATAAAACAAATGATGCAGTACCATGGCCTGCCCTACTGCCTATCTACACAATAGTATTCGAAAGTACCATAAGTCCAGATTGATTGAATGTGTATCCAAAAAATAAGCAATAATCAAGTTAATAAAAAAACCACAACACATTTTCTCCTTTCAAAAATAATCTTCTTAGCCTTAAACCCTTTCACCCTCTTCATTGTTATCAAGTGTTCAACGCTCAAAAGGTCAGCTAATCTGCTTCACCAAGATAGTGTCAGTGAGGTGTGATTACGTTTTACTGACACTGTTCATTTGGCAACACATATTGATTATACTGTAGGTGCTGAACTAAACATAGGGAAGGACAGTTCGGTCCTGCAAGTGATTTCAAATCAGTGAAGAAAGCAAAGACAATAAACCTAAATACGAAAAAACGCTTATGTGAAATAACTGAATAAACTGTCCGAAAGTGTTGTCTTCAGATATGGCTAATCAGCTTATTGAGAAAATGTTTTTTTTCAGCGCCTTTAAAAGCTGTATATTCTGGGAAGAAACAGTTTATGCACCTTTGCACTAAAGAAAATGTAACTGTACTGCAGTCGTTAACAAATCATACCTTTTTCCTTGACTGGGGGGAATATTTTCCGTCAATTAAATCATGATGAAATTAAGCCCCTCCTTTTCATAATAAGGGCCACCTGAGCCCAAGAAGAACCCCTGAGAGTTTCAGATTCACTTTACCAACCAGCGAGGACCGCAGTCAGGATCAGCACTTAGTGTAAAAATCTATAGGTCTTTCCACAGGAACATTAGCAAATGAATGTGAGGTCAAACATATTATCCATTGAATAATGTATTTACGTATCCATGTTTTCATGGGTTTGTTGATCGCTGCTAATATCATGGGCTTTTAACCAGCCTGCACTCATAAATCAGAACATGGTTGCTTGATTGCTTGCAAACAGTACAAACGTGTGCTGGTTGTCTTCAACAATTTTTTCTCTATTTTTTATAATGAGTGAAATTCATTCATAAAGTTTTTCCCTCTCTCAACCTTCTTTCCATCCTTGACATAAGCCTGTAGGCCTGTACTTATCTGAGAGTCATGTGATAATCCTTGTACGATTTAGCACATACACACTTCTCATAACACAAACACACTCACCCTGTCTCCTGATATTCAAATACCCGTGTTTCAGTGAGTAACCGGCCAGGAGAGGAGAGGAGAGCTTTTAGACATGTCATGGGTTTTGTGAGTGTGATGCACTTCCATGAAATCATAAGACCTGCAACTGAAGAAACCACAAAACTTCCATTAGCTCCACAGTCCAACTCTTCTCTTCCAAGGAAAAGTCTGAGTGGCAGGAAGTGAGAGGCTTGTTTTTAAATGCTGAACTCACTAACCATAACTTTACTTGATATAAAATGAACACAATAAATGTGTTAGTGGTCTCTGTAAATCAGATATGAGAGAACACTAAAGCAAAAATGGTTAAGAAAACAAGACAAGGCCTTAATCCTTCATACTAAAATCACCCACAGCCTCCCCTTTACTGCACATTTAATCTAAAAACAACCTAACAACATGGTGGTGCACCCTGGGGAAGGCTGTGGAAATAACTGGTTGTTAGATCAGATTTAAACAGGTGATTCAATCATGGTATCATAGAAACGGTCCGTTACATAGTAAACTGTGATTCATTTAGAAGCCGGAAACCAAGGATCATGACTCAGGCAGGGCTGATCAAGCAGTAATGTGATTATATCACATCCTCTTTCCAGCTGCATTATTCCATAAGGGTCAGCATCTCCAAGAAGGCAGAGTGGAAGGAAGCAGCTTGATTAATTATTTTTTACTCCACATTAATGTCAAACACTTCCTCATGGACATGAGTATTACAACAGAGTAAACTTAGATAAAGTTGTTGCTATGTTAATAACATGACAACCACTGATTTAGAGTGGTTTGGTTGCACTTACAGTTTATATAAGTCTCACAGTGGTGAGTATTTCAAGAGATATGTATGAGTAACAGGCTATTTTACACCAGCTGCATGTGGACGTGACTGCCGAGCAGGAGGACCGTCTCAGGAAAAATCTTGTGTAAGAAACCCTCATGAAATGTTGGACCAGCCTTCTTAACTTGGTGAGCCCTCTGCTGGTGGCCCCTGCTGTTAAATGCATGCTGTAGTGTAGACAATAATAAAGTTGTGTGTGTGTGTGTGTGTGTGTGTGTGTGTGTGTGTGTGTGTGTGTGATAGAGTGGCTTTATCTCATCAATCTGCGGCAGCTGTGACACTAATCCTGAAACCAAAACATCCTTTACTAGACAACTTGGAAACAGTTGCCAGGAAACCAGGAGGAAGTGCTAAAGTTGTTTGCAGGCAGCATGTGCACGAGTGTGGCTTAATTGAACGGCAGAAAATGCCACCCAGTTAATCAGAACAATTTATGCATTTTATATATGTTCACTGAAATAGTCAATATACTTATTAAAATCGTTAAGCATATATCTTGAAAGTAAAAAAGGACAACATCTCTTTTTTTTTCTTAAGTTGCAATACATGTCTGTGTTATAACAATAATAATAATAATAATAATAATAATAGTTATTAAAGTATATATTATATATCTCGTAATATAAAATATAATAATGTCCATACAAATAATATTAGCGACAATAGCAAAAATACATGTATTCATATCGTAATAAATACAAAACAATTATAAGATAGAGGAGCAACGCCCTCTGCTGGCTGATGCTAGTACATACAGCATCATCATAAAGCTGCTGCAATAAAAAAGTCTTAAGAATACTTTCAGCCACTTTATACAAAAATAATAAGCCCAAAGGTATTTATGAAGTATATCTTTGAGCGCTTTAAGGTGAGAATGGAGAGACAAAGTGTTTAAAGTTTCAGCCACATGGACTGGTGTGGACCATGGTGTGGACTCATGCCTTACTGTATACTCTATTTTCTCTGATTTCGTCTCAGAACAGATGGGAAATGTCTGCCTTAAGCTGCTCCACTTCCCTACTCAGCAACCAAATAAGAGACCTAATGAATTTATTTTTAAAAAGTCACGGTACAGCTTCTCATTAACTCAGATCAGCAGTAAATTAATCAGTGTTGCTATAGTTTCTTCTTTTCAATAACCTTGTAAATTCACTTGTGCTAGACTCCAATTATATGAACCCTTACCTCCAGTAATCCTTGATAAGAAAATGTGTATGAACCAGCAACCTCAGTGTATTGGTTTTGTGTAAAAAATACTTGCTTATAGGTTTATAGACAGTTTGAAAGAGTTGTCTAATGAATTCGATGGACATCACTGCCTGCCTGCTATTGCTACTTCAAATAGGAAATGGGAGTAACTACATGAGAAACGTCATACTCTAATGGAATCAGCTCAAGTTACAGGTGTACACTAACTACAAAACCCCTCTGTTTCCAGTGTGACCAACAGGAGGCAGTGTTGTGTTGAGGTTCAGTATAATTTCTTTCCTTTCCATCTCCTTTTTACATTTGTTTAACTTGTTGACACTTTGAATAAGAAATGCAAAAACACAAAACTGTATTTTGCTATAACAGCTGCATGTTTACACAGCAGGTAATATTTATATGTTTCATACTTGCAGTAATATGCTTGTTGCGGTAAATTTAAAGGTCCTGGGAGGCTATAGAATCACACCCAGCCAATGTTTTGTTATCGCATAAAGAAAAACACCCAGCACAATATGAATCATGCCGTTAGTACAGTAGCCTATACCTTAATGATCTATGAGATGCTAATTTGGTGTTTCTACTTATTTAATGTGTAAATGTGTTAAAGGAGTTGTGTAGAATAGTATATAGCGTTGTACCTTTGAAGATGAAATTGAAGTTCCAATTATACAAAAGTAATTTGTTTTCATACTAAATAACTAATGTACATGTATAATGTACATAACTATATATGTGTCTTAATATATAAATACAGTAAATGACTGCATTCCATAGTAATTATAATCAATACAATACATTTAT